GCAGGAATTTTTGGTGTGAGAGCTTTTGTATTACTGGCAGTATCTCTCCTGATGCTATCAGGTGCCAGCTTCCAGAAGGCTCCTCTTTGTATTGTTGCACAGGCTTTCTACTGCCTTTAAAAATTTGATACCATGCAATGCCTAACTGCACAAAACAGGAAGGCCTTGAAGGTTCAGAGGTGATGCCACTGTGATGAGTTTTTACACTGCAGACAGATTCATTGCTGTAATCCTCCCAGTCTTGCCATTATTACTGGTTTGGCGTAATACAGCTTCTGCTGTCAACAACTGTTAGTTTATCCCCGGAAAAATAAATATGCCTCTTGCAAAACTGTCCTTAAACACAGCTGGATAACACCTAGTAACAGCTGCAGCTATCTGTAGTGAGAGCAGTGGAAAATGCCTGAACGTTCAGTGCTGCATGTAATGTCTTAAAAAAATTAATACTCCTTTGTGTGTCATGTTTACCATCGGCTATGCTCAGCCAGTATATTTCTGACTGGGGAAACTGCTTCAGCATATACATGATTTTCAACACCTAACTAATCCTCTGAGCTCAGGTTTGTGGTGCTTAGCCATGCATGTGGGAGGATTTTATTTTTTTTTTACTGTCTGGACTCTCCTATGGCTTGTTCGCATCTATAGGGGATTCAAATTTCAGTTTCTTACAAGTAAAACAAGGCAGAGTTCTTTGTGGTTATTCAGTACTATAACAGCCAGAGATTTTGAATCTCCACCTGCATCCTCCAAAATGGGGGATGTGATGTGATATCTTCAGTTTGTTTTCAGTTGCCGTTGAATTGCCAGGCATCTCTGTGGAAAGTGGAAGCTTGAAGATCTTGGTGAGGTAGATGCTGATTTTCTGGCTTATATAAGCCTCATCGAGGCCTTATGCTTGAGAGCTTTCAGCCTAAACAAGAGAAAGTCGAAAATGTAAATAATGTTATTGGGAAAAAGTAGTGTATTAGGACATACAAATCAGTTTTTATCTACTTGGCTGTTTACAAAGTGCAGCTTGTGAGTCTCCACCTGTCCAGCTGTTCTCTTGCGTCACATTGCAGATGTTTATTAATAATGTCTTGAATGTTCATCACATTTTTCAAAGCAATTCAGCACATAGGGAAGAAAGTCTTGGAGAAAACCTGGGCCCAGCTGTGTATGTTGAGCTTAGGGGTTCTTGTCTGTTGCCGACCATGGTGGCTCTACTACTTACACCTGGCTGTTCTTATTTCATATATTCCCCTGCCCCCCTCACCCCCTAGCCAAGATCTGTCTGTGTGGCAAACAGGATATGTGTGTATCTGAGCACCAAATTAGAACATCCTTACTGTAAAGGAAACCTTTCCCAGCTGAGTTTATTTAAAACCTATTAGGAGGGTGGGGGACAGAAGGAGCCAAAGACATGGTGAGCTTTTTCAAGAGATGCAAAGATGTGGTGAACTCTTTCCAGAGAAGAGGCCATGGAAGATTCAGGCTTATGTTAACAAGTCACTGAAAATAAATGACCATGGCATGGTCTTGATTTTATTTTTTTTTTTTTAACAGAAATTGATTAATTTTTAGTTTAAAGTTTAAAATTCTATTCATACACCTCATGCTTATCTGTGTATGACTGAAGCTATTGTTTCTAACAAATAGCCTGAACTTTCATTTGACCCATAGACTATAATTCATTTGTAGACACATTATAACTTATATTACAGATATCCTTCAGGGTATCATTGTAAAACTCAAGGTTATTCATTTACTCACTGCTTCCTGAAGCAGAGTTCTCCATCCCATGCACTGCGGTAAAGGAGGTGTGCAAGCTCTCCCATTGCTTGCACAAGGATAGATATTTGCCTTTGCAGTTGCTTTTGGAAAAGGATGATGATGGAGTTTCTGCTTCCTGTGTGTGGATTTTCTTGATCTTTTCATCCAAGTAGACTTGCTGCTTTCACTACTGGTAGCTGATGGTTGTTACGAGTTCTACCTGGCCTCGAGAGAATTAATATTTGTGTGAAGTAGTGGCAATTGTAAATCAGAGTAGCTTTATTTCAAGTGCTAACGTCTAAATATCTTCAGAAGTGAGTGGACTTGTCCATATTGTTCTCCTGGTTTGATATTAAACTCAATCCTGAATCTTAAGTAAATACTAAAGTCATTATTAAGCTGTTACTCAAACTGTCTTACAAACAATACTGACAGTAACAGTGATCCTATCTTTCTGTTCATTTCTCATTATCTATATAAAAAGGGTAGGAATGATACAGTAAAAATCATAACAGTGATGGCTTAAATTTCAGATGCTGTCAGTAACAAAGGTGCTGTTTGCCTTTGTGCTTAGTCCCTTCCATCCTGACATGGAAGCTCAGCTTTCATGGTTAGCCATTGCGGTGCAGTTTCAAGAGTTAAAAGGCACTCCCTGTTTCTAAAACTTTGTTCCTAGCGCTCGGTTCAATCCAAGCACTTAGTGTGTGCCAAGAAAGCGACCTTTGCTAACTGTTACAGTGAATACAGTGCTATGTTCCTACAACTAGCTGTGCTGTCTGGGGGCCTGCAGGGAGAACTGAGCAGACTGAGGACAGGCTGATTTCTTCCCTGCTTCGGAGGTGTCGGTACAGAAGCGGGTAGAGGGGCAGCCCGGTTCTGAATTAATTGCTGGCAGTAGTAGCCTGACTATTGGAGCATTAATTTTTTGAGCCTACTTTCTCTTGCTTGTCTGTATTTTCTTCTTTTATAATTATTTTTTTTTTCCTTCTCATCGGGCAAATTTTGGGATGTAATGTTTTGGATCTTAATGTCAGTAGATGGGGACAATTTGAACCATCTTCTGTGTTTGTGAAGTTTGTTTTGTACAAAGTGACCTATGTAGTGAACTCTTGTCTATGCTATGTTACATTTCCTGCTGTACATGCTTACACAATTACAGAATCATAGAATTGTTTTGGTTGGAAAAGACCTTTGAAGATCATCAGGTCAAAACCATTAACCTGAAACTGCAAAGTCCCCCACTAAACTGTGTCCCTATGCACCATATCTACACATCTTCTAAACACCCCCAGGGATGGTGACTCCACCACTTCCTTGGGCAGCCTGTTCCAGTGCCTGATAACCTTTTCAGTGAAGAAATCTTTCCTAATATCTAATCTAAAGCTCCCCTGGCACAACATAAAGGCATTTCCTCTTGTTTTGTTATTTCTAACATGGGAGAAGAGACCAACCCCCACCTCACTTCAGCCTCCTTTCAGGTAGTTTTACAGAGTGATAAGGTCTGCTTTCCTCCAGACCAAACAACCCCTGTTACTTCAGCCACTCCTAGTAAGACTTGTGTTCTAGACCAAGAGAGAAAAATGTGTCTAATTTCATGCTGGGTGGGTTCTTTACACTTTTTATCTGGGTTGCTGCAGCACACCTAAAAAATGGATGGAGTAAACCTGTGGGTTTTGTGTTCCCTGCAGAATTGTCTGTCAAGTCTCAAACAGTTACATTTTTGCAAATTATCAAAGGAAATAGTCCATGCAGATGGTAGATCCTGAAGAGGAGGTCCTGCTCTTTCACTGAGGGAGAAGGTTGAGGTCCAAGGCTGAGGTATCAGGACGGCTACCAAAGTTAATCAGTGAAGTGTTAGCTACAAGGTGTCACTAGAGACAAAGGTGTGCAGTCCCCACCGAACCCTTTCCAAGAAAAATAGCCCAACTTTGTTGACTATTTGATGGTTTCTGGTACCTCATACTCCAGTTGTTACTAGTTGACTTCCTGAAGTCCGCTTGTCTTGGGAACATTATTTACTGTTTTAATAAATGGTCTTGGCTCTGCTCTTCTGAAACGGTTGATGAGATAAATTTGAATGTGTTCGTCTTTTGTCTTGGCAGTGTCAGCAGCAGAAAGAGGTGGCTAGTATAGAATAATAGGGAATAAAATATAGTAGTATGCATTTCCAGTCTGTGCAGCTGGGGACTGATAATAAAAGGTACTATGAATTAGACCTACTTATAGGGAAGGACCCTAGTTAACTAGAAAGATCTGTTTAAGATAGTGTGGCTACAAAAATTTTCAGCACAGAGTGCCATTTTCCAGAGTCTTTGTTGAAACATTATCTGAACAGGGTTTGGAACTGTTTGGCTGTGTACAAGAAGCACTTCTGGCATTACCAGTAAGCAAAGGTCTGAATTTCTAAGAGACTCAAAGAATTGATTTGTTTAATCTAGCCTACCTGGGCACTGGGACAGACTCTTTTGAGTGCTGTCCCTAACTCACTATGAAATCAGCTCTGGGGAAGAAAAAGCCACTAGAGCTGGAGGATAATGTTGGCAGAAGAACAAATGGGTTTAAGCTGAGAGGAAGTGTTCCTAATGATTTAGAGGAATCGAGCTCCACAGCAGCTTTCCAGCCAGGCGGTTGGAAGTGCAAGTCTCAGTTACTTTTAGGATAGAGGTTGGTAAATTGATAAAAACATTATCTGGTATTCACTCTGTGATTGTTAGGAACTGAATTAATGGTCCAAAAGGCCCCTGTCCCAGTAAGAAATCAGTATTTAAGTAAGTAGAGTAGCTACATCTTTCAGAAGTTGCCTGAAAATTAAACACTGTTTTAGGCAATCTGATCATCCTGCAGTGACAAAAAAAACCTGATGGATAGATGTCAAATCACTTTATTTGTGCACAAAATCCGAATCTCTGATCCTAGCTGTCTATCTTTAGGCTGTGTCTGATTCTTTTTTTCATACCTCATTAGCATTAAGCAGAACACTGCCATTTTGTGTGTTCTTCAAGTTCTTAATGACAGCCAGAGAAGTATGTTCATAGATTCCAAGAGGACATTGAGTAGGTGATGTATCATCAAAGCATAAAAATTAAGCCTCCTTTCTCAATAAATAAGAGAAGATTGTGCAGTGATGCAGGGTTTTGTTGGGGTTTTTATTGTTTGTTGTTGTTGTTTTTAAACAAGAAATGTAAAGTCGTATACAGAAAACAATTACTAGAATGTAAAAAATATTTTCTGTCCTTTTTTCTTCCTAGTTGGGGAATGGCGGTCAACGTGTACTCTACCTCTATAACCCAAGAGACTATGAGCAGACATGACATCATTGCATGGGTTAATGATATATTAGCTTTAAACTACACAAAAGTCGAACAACTCTGTTCAGGTAAGAAAGCATGGTATGCTCTACAAATGTTTATTTTAAAACCACTTTAAAAGTCTGATTTGTTGAAAATAGATAATTTTTAACTTTGACATAAAACAGTTACTCTGAGAAAAGAGACTAATGTATGTGAAAAGTAAGCATTTTTGCATTCATTTTAATCATGGGAAGATAAGGTGCCTTGAGAAGGCATAATAAATGCAAAGGTGAATGGGACAAATGTAGCAGAGGATATGCAGAAGTAATAAAAAGGTTGGCTAAGCAAGAAAAGAGTACAGTGATAAGCTTTTGTGTTTTAAAGCTACCGAGGTAGTATCTTTTCAAATGGAGAGTGGGTATAGCTGAAAAAGAGACAAATAGAGAACCAATGCCCTGGGTGAACAAAATTCTCCAGCACCTTTTCCTTCTTGGTAAGGGTCCTCAAATCCCTGCTGATGTCTGCAGGAAAAGAGCACAACTGCGATTGTGAAGAAAACCATGGATTTGAGGAAGTGAGCCATTAGCTGCTCTGAGGGTTTTAGAAGTTTGTCAAGAAAATCTGCTTGTTTCTCTTTACATGTAGGTGAACTCTTGTTGTAAGTAAATTTGATAATGAACCCTGAAAAAAAAGGTAATGGTTTGAATATTTTGGACGTTTTGGTTTATCAGAGTGGCAAATATGAGGTACGTGTTAAACTACAGGGTCTATAACTAGATGATGACTAGAAATGACACAGACAAGGGCAGATGTTTCACTGAGAATACAGGTGCCCCTGGGAAGTGATTCTTTCTGATTTCCTACTGTGATTTTTAAATTTTAAGATGTTTGTTTTGGAGGGGATCTAACTTAGATCACTACTTCCAGACAACTGACATGCTGGGACTATCTCACTTAAGGAGACAGTGCTCTAAGTACCTTGAACTGAAATACATTACCACATTTCAGCTGTTTACTGGTCCAGCTCAAGTGCATAAATGGGGTCTTATATTCACGTATTTGAATTTGCTTACCTGTGTGGCTAAATTTTCTGTCTCAATGATGTTCCCTGAAAGGTAGAGAGAACCCTCCAAGATGGTAGCCTCAGAGCCTACTCTGCAAAAATTTAAAAAGCAAATCTCAGCTGCAGAAGCAGGCTTTCATGCTTGCAGCCTCACACAATAACTATACAATTGAGGTTGAAAAAGTGTAGGTTAAAGTGCATGTAAGCAACTGATGTAAACCAAATAACAAAAGAGACAGAGCATGGGAAATAACCTTTTTAAGAGTTATTAAACTTGCAATTGAAATGTTATATAATGTTATGTTATTTATAAATGTTATATTTTTTCTTTTACATATCCTGAAGTTAGCTTAACTATTTTCTGTTGATTAATTATACATAGAGAAAATAATTATTAATTATACATAAAGAAAATACTCAGGGATGTTTGTGGAGACGTGTATAAATATGGGTATAGCTATATCTAAGTAGATTAGATATAGATACACACATGCACACACACTTCAAGGAGATAGAAAGATACAAGAACATGGGCATATTCATCCCAAAATACCCAATGTTTGCCATTGTTTGAAACAGGAAGCATATGAGACCAGTTACTGACTTGTTCCTGCATAGCTATTTATGTGCCCATAAATAGTTGAAAGGAAGCTTTTGAAGTGAATTCTCCATGCAGTTAAATGTGTATGGGCTTGCAAAAACAAAACAAAGAAAAAAAACCCAAACCAACAACCTGCCCAAAAGTCTTTCCCAAAATAGGGGAAAGGTCATCTAAGAAAATTTTTATTATGCAGATTACAATGAGTTAAAGGCATTTAAGAATATCAGATAAAGAGACTTCACCTGGGTTGGGCAAGCAGGAGAAAAGCACAGGAATTGTCACAAACCCACTGTCCTACTTCATTGCACAGCTTCTTATGCAACTTCTTCTGTGACCTCCACTGAAAATTTTGGGACACACCACAAGGGAAAAACTGAAAAAGGGTCGTCTCATTAGAGCTCTCACTCCATCTTGTGTAAAATTAAACCATTTCTTCCTTTAGAACTTCCTGGAATGTATTGATTGCTGTTCTTACCTGATACTTTTACATTAATATCTTAACAGGTCAAAGCTGTAAACTTGAAGTGTCCCATTTGGTTTGATCGTCCAGCTTGATACTTAAACATTTTTGCACTAATGTTCATTATGATCACAGAAGGGGCTTTCATAGTTGCTTAGCTGAATCACCCTTGTAGCGTGGTCCTTCCTGTCATCCCGAGGACTTTACTCTCTGAACTGATGAATCTAACCTCTGCTGGATTATTGCAGACACTCGAGCACAGCAGTCTTACATGCTCAGTCCTTTCCCTTTGAGACTGCATAGTCTGTTTCTCATGTGCAAGGCACACACGTGTAGGG